TATTAGAAATATACAAGTACTGTATAGGCTAATAGGTTCCAAAATTTTCGAAAAACACGGTTTACTTGCTATACCATTGCAATTGTTATAAAATCGTCTTTCGAAATGTAGGCAAAATAAAATTGTACAATTTTAAATAGTTAACTGGTTAGTATTTTGGCATTACACATTTTAGAACATGTATGGTAATGACTAAAAGCTATTACAAACACCTAAATTCATTGGAGTACCTATTTATAATGAAAAATAAAATATTACAGTAGGCTACATGAAAAGAACGACCTAAACTGTCACGTGAGTAAATTTTTTCAGCTGTTCCAAGAGCTGAATAGAAAACAATGTATTTTATTTTACCGTACTGCATTATTTGGATTGTATATCAAATGGATTTTAAAATATGATGCGATTTATAAAAGTAAAGTTGCAAAAAGTTTTATCGACGGTCTCGTAATTATGTCTCATATATTTTACCGAATAAGTGAAAATGATAATTCACAACCCTTCGAGATAAAAATCAAATAGAAACGAATTTACTTGACATAAAGGGACGTATGAAAGCCTCAGTTGCAATTGAAATCTGTTATCTGGTAGGAGAGGAAACACAAGTGACAAGAATCGTATAGAACTTCACCGCCAACTGACAACAATGAGTTGTGCGAAGGACATCTACACAATGTAGAGCTTATGGAGAAGATATCATATCCTACAGTCACTCTCATACGGACAGGACTTTATCATGAGGTAACCAGGTAACCACGTGTAGGTATTGGTCCTAAGTAAAGTGTTGAGTAAGAATTGTGCTAAATGCGTCTAATCATCGTTAGATAGATAATTTTGTTTGTTGGAATCTGGTTTGAACATGCTTATGCTCAAAGATGGGGACGCCACTAGGTGCGTATTTTAACCCAAATAAGAGTGAAGGATGAGTGTAGGATAAGTGGCACGATCTTGTAGTCTTGTGACTTAAGGCCGACATATTCCTTATACAAAGCTTTTAATTAATAGCCCATACAGCCAATGGCAACTAAGGGACCTACAGTGTATAGTGGAATCCAAACCAAATTTTTCCTTGTTATTAACGAATTGGATAGGACATAGAATTGACTTAAATTTTACCAATTACAACACAATTTGCAACATTTAAAAACAATGAATGACGCTATTATTTGTTATTAAAGATTAAGAGCCTTCTAAAGTGCTGAAAAAAAACAATAGGTAGTTTGGAATTTTTAGAAAAGGTTTCTAATTTTCTTCAGATGAAATATGAATAACAATTTTGCAACATGCTTGGTAGGTTTATAATTTTGTTATAACTTATCATACACGCTAACAAACGCTTAATCAGACGCGCTTACTTCGATATTAATGTTTGTATCTACTACATACAATTATTGTTAATCACATTACCCTGTGTTGATTAACATCTCAATCAAGCACAGAGCTAATGAACATAGACTGCTGGGAAAACACCGTAATAGAGCTGTAAGGCTTAAATTAGTGCATAACGGTGGCTCTTGCGGAAATTAGAAATTTGCAAGGTGCAAGGATAAATTAATGCAAAGTTAATTTAACGCATTACATCCTTTGAGAACTGTGCGGTATTGGTTTTTAAATGTCAGTTTCCATAATAGAGAAGGAGGTACCAATGAAAAAACACGTCTCGAGCAAGTTTTCAATAGAATTACTGTAATTCAAACACTGTTCAATATAATCTATATTACCACAGCTACAAATGACCTAGCGATACAAATCGAACTTTGACAAGTACAACGAACTCAAACGAAGGAACAACGAACGATCAACGATCAGACAAATCGTTAACGATACGCTGTCGTTGCCGGTCTAAATTGTGAACTTGTTCATGCTAACGAACTAGATAAAAAATATTTGAACACGTCTTCGATCCATTAATTAAAGGAAAGGAAGCTGCAGGTAGTTGGGGGTAGATTTATAGGCCTGGTCCAATCGTCGGTTTACAAATCCTAGTTTAAAAATCGTAAATTCAGTAAGATAGTCAGAAACATTATTGTAGTTTCCAAATTTGTATAGTTCCCGTACAACGACGTAACCGCACAAAATGTGTAACAACAGGGAATTTGTAAGACACTTTGGGGCGTGTGTATGATTCATGGCTACAATACCTGCGTGGATTCCAAATGAGATACTTAGTTACGAGGGACGTATTGTATGTCCGGGGAAAGAATTTATTTCGTTTATAACAAATTTCGGGCTTTGAAAGTGTTTTATGAATGTAAACTATTTTTAAAAAGAACTGGGGTAAGATGAAAAAAAATTATCGTGTATGTTGTGGTGATAAACTTGCTAAATGTACTATCAACTTCTACTGTTTTATCGTCTATGGGTTATCAAGAGGTGAAATGTTAAATCATTTAAGCTTACGTACCGTGTGTATCAACATTCAAACTATATAAAAACTACAAAGTGACAAAAATTCCGAAAAATGCAGCATTCGAATTCAACCTACATTAGGTAAATGTGTCAAAATAAAACTTTAAGTATTTTAAATCCATTTTATTTCTTCAGAACGAGATTCAACAGTGTTTAAGACAAGGGTTTCCATCCTTGAAATTATCTAATCCGAATTTCGTCTCTCATAGTTCTACTTCTAGCCTCGGTTCCGAGCCGTCTCTGATGATATCACGTCAAGGTCAAGGCCACTAACGAGAGATGGACTGATAACAGTCGGCGCCGTAGCAGTGGGGGGTTGTATCTCTACCTGGACCTCACCCTTCGACCATCAGGACCTCGGGGCTGCTAAACCTTAAACCAACAACGGAAACGTTTATCTCCTGCTGCCAACCCGAAAATGCCTTTCTCGGAAACGACGTTCTGTACCTGTCGGATTTTGACAGGCTATTCTGGGGAAGTGCCAAATGGCTTTGTTTTCTTTCCATTCGGTGATTTTAAGTGATGATTTTTGAGGCTTACAAAAATACTTAGCTAGGCTATATTTGTTCTTCGGAAATACCTCTTTCTGTCAGTTAAGAAATTATTTTTTGTTCGTTCTCCGAGTGCCTGTATTTTGCCCATTTAGGAGAACTCTGTTGCTATAATATAATATGAGCATTGTGCTTTGACTATACGTGTATAAATGGTCTTAGGTAAGATCAAACTGATTTTAGCCAGTTATAAACCTACACAGATCATATATAATTTCACTCTGCAACCATTTACGTCCAATATAGTACGTCATAGATTTAGCGCAGTGTTTTAGCCCATTACATTTAGGCTACATGAACGATTAAAGTGGGCCTAATATTTTCCGTCTGGTGTTTTGTGTTAACTGGGACCGGAATATCACTCAATGATTTACCCTTTTACAAAAAATAAACCAACTATCAACCAGGTTAATTTAATTTCTGCGTTGTTTCTACTACACAAACGAATAAACTATAAACTAGTCTACGTTTTGTCATATCTAGTGGTACCACTCAGTGTTTTATACTTAAATTAAGAAGAAACCGACTATAGGCCCATGTTCACCGGCTAAACTCGCTTCCACCGCACAGTGGGACAGCGACAAACAAAGGGACAATGATTAACGTTTAGGCTAGCTGGTGGGAAAGATGCATTCATTTCTGGCTCGCTTAGTCTAAACAAAGCAGTGCTGCTGACGGTCTTTAGAGGGTGTCGTGGTAGTCACCATAGCTCTGACAGACGTAGAGCGAGAGTGGAGTAGAGGTACTGTGCGGAGATGTATAAAGAACAGCGAAACAGCTGATCGAATGTGCGAGGAGAAATATGAAATAGAGTTAAAAACTACCGCAAATAACAAATACTTGTACTGTTTACTAAATACTGTATCATCTGTTATGTTTATTGTTTACTTATCAATAAACACGAACAGCAACAAGATTACGTTCATAAGAAAAGAATAGGCTACAGAAAAGAACCGCACGTCCTTTACCATTGATTGTCAATCAGCTGTTTCCAATTTGTAAGAGAAATCAGCTATGAGTTACAAGCTGTCAAACTCTTGCCAACCTACCACAGTATGGCCTTGACTAGAAAGTAAATTATGCTCGTTGGAATTAACAGTCCCAAGACCATAACTAACTCATGAACGCTACCCCGTGTTTAGCATACTATGTGCTCGCTCGCAGCTCGCCTACGCGACTGGCATGGGTTAACGCGGCTATTTATGTTCAACAAGGCGTCTTGAATTATGAATGACTTAAGTGGCGCTAAATCACAAGGTAACGTTTGGTAAATACTAATTCAATGCTGATTTGAAGCCGGTTAAGGTGCAAACACTAGTGTGACGAGAATGAAGTAAAGTTTGTAGTGGTTGCATGTTAAAAATGGTGATGTATCACACTCTATAACTTAAATTTCACAGAGAATGAGCATATCATAGTTAACTTTGATTGGTATGTTTGATGTGAAAACAATGTCAAGTCTATTATATTGAGGATTAGGATATACACTAATTTAGAGTTATCCTATAGAACGGTAGGTACCAACAGCACCTTAATAGGCTAACTTTATACGGTTGATATTCAATTAATATTTTTAAGAGTATTTGAGAGCATTGACATTTCTATAAGGTAACAGTAACATTTTATAGTAGAAATATATACCTAAGAATATAAAATTTGTGTTCGGACGTTCACCTGTCACCGGCAAAGAATCATCGTCTCGTTAAATGTACTAAATAAAGCAGGAAGAATGTAAAACTTGTTAAATATTAACTTACTAAGTAAGCTAGGTACTTATAGAACATTAATTGGATATAATAATTAAACAAAAGTGAATCCTGAAACGAAATGTAATTGGGAAACTACTGTTTGAAGAGAATTATTGTTAAATAGCTTTACTGTTATCATCTTATACATACATAGGGTAAAGATATTCCTGGCTATTACAACTGATACACATGTACAATTATTACATACAAATGTTCTTAGGAGTGCAAAAATAACGTAGTTTCCGATTAAACTTAAAGAATAACTCAACAAACAAGATAGACATTAACTTACCTAATAATCTCCGTACTTCAATCTGATTCAGGTACAAGTTGAGGTTAGCACAACACTGATTCAACGTGCAAGCAAAGTAAACCAAAAGGAACGTCGAAGTAAACAAGGATTTGAATTTAGCCATCGCGCTACTAGGCCGAAAAGAGAGGTTAAAACACAAGTGAGGTTACGCCCCTGAAATCGCGCTTGGAGACGGATTCAAGACATCTACACTGTGAATAAAGTCACATCAATACATATCAAGACACACTTCAGTCACTGTAAGTACGTATACATCGGCTAAGACACATAATTTACAATATATTCACAGAAAACAAAATCCGACAGACGAACGACCGTTCCGTCCCGAACGCAAACACACTCTGTTCTCGTAACAAGTTCGTGTTTCGTTCTCAACAAGGCGAAATGGCGCGTGAGTGGGGGGCAGTGGGGAGCCGAGCGTCGCCGGAACCGCCCGATCAGACCCGACCATCAATAATGTTTTTATGCCTTCTCGCAGCCTCCCAAACGAGGTGGTTAGCAGGGTTCTCCATAAATCAAACGTAAAGGCGTACAATGCCAATTGATTTCGATTCATTACATTTTTTAAATATGTCAAGCGAGAATAGCTTTGACACTAACGAATAGATACAGGTCTTGTTAAAAGTGATTTACTGCCGTGTTTATTATTGGTATTCAAATGCTGGAGGTGGCAATTAAGGGTTTATTCAAATCGGAATTTACATTGCCGTAAAATGTGTTGCCGAATCGTTAGAATAAGTCGTTGGGTTTTGGACATCGTCCAAGAGAACGTTTATGCAGCAAATGATGTGCGCGGAACTTGACTAAACAATTGTTATACACAAGAAGAGTTTGATTAGAATATAGTAAAGTCAATCTGCGAATCGATTAATTAACAATATAAGCTACCACTTTATTTAAAAGATAATATTTACACATAGTGGCAGAGAAAATCACCAAGCAAAGAATCAAAAACCTCTTTTTCATATTTTCACTTGTTTATTTATCTGCCCTTTTTCTTTGCTGCTGGATAACGTTTTAAGTTTTTGGGTCCATACAACGGGTTTGTTACTATCTAACGTCAACTACGTATACAACCTTATTTTAATTTACATATTTAATTTTTAAACCAATGAAAATAAGACGTCATTAAGGCTATCAATCGATCCCACTTGGCATTTTAAGCGCATGGGTTTATCTTGAAAATCATTAGAAAATTAAGATAAAATGGGTAGGGCTAGTACTCAAATAATCGTACAGTACACTAATAGATTTTCTTTACAAAGGTTATATTCCACGTGTAAACCGTATTTACTGTTTTGTTGCTATTCAATATATCAACACATATGAGAACGATTTTTTTTAGATATATTACAACACAAATGCTTAACAGTTAAGTCAAAATAAAATTTATTTTACACATAACGATATTTCCATATACAAAACATAGATTCAGCGACCAATAAATATAACAGTAGTTGAAGTCTCCCAAATTTACAACTACCAGTAGAAACCTAAAACTGCCCGGTTATAAGAAACACACATATAACTCCCGCATGACAAACGCAGCATGCGACGTCCACACATTTATCACCCGACTTTTCTGTTTTCTCCGTCGCCATATTGTGTACAGGTGAGGTGTAAATGTAAATGAGAACCAAGTAGTTCCGAGGCGCCAGACGGGGGACAAGATAGAATGTTTACCGTCGTGCAGGGAATGGGAGATGAGTCGGTTGGTAGCACTGAATGCAAACAAAATGTCAGAGTCAACAGTGCCACACCTGCCTTTGGAGACGAGGAAATATCCTGAAAGAAAATAATAAATCATTGCCCATTCAGTCAAGCATTGAGCACGCATCCTTTAGAGGTCCTTTCAGAGCGTTCAGGTGTGCCTAAACGGTCTATGGGGTTGTTGATGTTTTTTATGCCGAGATCGATTATTCAACGTCATAGCTCTTGAAAGAGACGTCAGTAGAATAGAAGAATAGTTGCAAAATGTGCTTGCAATCATTCGTAGAGCGAATAGGATGACCCATGACCCGAGAACAATAATAGTAGTAGGGGGATTTAAGCCCAATTACTTCACTTGACTTATACAGTTGAATTACCAATTCTTTCTTATATAACTCGATACATTATTATATTATTGGAAATATACAAAACTAGAGCTAGCTCCGTTGTTGAAAATTCGACCAAAAGTATGTATTGTGCAAATTTCTCTATTTTCACTCCATGCTGTAAATAAAACATGTGATTTTTCTTTCTTGTATTTGTTTTGATTTTCTGTTTATATTTTGTTGTTATTTTGTCTCCAACATAGCATTCCATTAGGCCCAAGTAGATTTTTGTTCAAATTCATTTTTAGTGCTTATTTTTGAGCCTATTTTAATTTATAAAGCGATTCTGCACATCTTCAGGAAAATATATCTTTCTGTATGCGTAGATTTTCCCTGCGATGCACAGGGGAGAAAAAAGGGTTTCAATAAACATGCTTAATTAATATATAGAATTAGCCCTATGTTAAATCTCCATAAGAAAGGTTGAATTTCCATTTTTGACCCAATTAACATAAATGTTCTCAAAATACAAATAAAACCTGCACGTATTGGACCGATAACCTTTCTTTTCGTCCAACCCGCGTGTAATTCGGTTCAGAATTATGGTCAAGCTAGCTGTCATAAGTTGATTAGATATCGTAGTAAAAAAGTCCATTAATAGATTTAGTTTTTTTCTGTGGTACACATATAAAGTTAACATACCGGTAGCTTTTATTTATACAACCACCCCAACACGTTTATATGTTGTTTCCGTTTCTGCGAATTCTGTAAATAGGAAATGTATGCAAGATGTGCCTCAACATACTTATAAAGCAGCTAAATATATTTTTGATGCTTGAGCGTAATATTTATTAAAATTACTACACAAAGACTAAATTAGATAATAATGAAAAGCAATAAAATTAAGAGCATAAAAAATATATACGACGAACAAATCTTGATAGTAAATATTTTATGAGGCAATAAAAAACACTCATTAATCTATTTACAGGTAATTTATTATTGTAATGCTACTAAACAGCAAATAATTTGCTCCTTTTTATCTTAACTGGTTATCAACAAGTTACAGTCTGTGAAAAAAAATTATGAGCTTACATGATCGTGCATTGCTCACAATCGTAAAAAATATCAGTGTAACCAATATAAAAATGTGTTGATGATCAGAAGATTTGAAATTATATATTTTACTATTATCAAAATGTTAACACTTTTGCAAGTAAATTCTTCGTATGCTTCTGATTACGTTAATACACTGAGCTTATGTTCTATACTTAACATAATGTCTATTCAATAACATAATATCTAGTAAATAATTAAGATAAAACTGTTTATATCATAATCATTATCGGAATGAATTGGCTTGTTTTATGTAATAAAGCTATTGAAATTCTGCATTTTCCTTAAACGATTGCATATTTTAATAACATCTTAAGACTATTAAAAGTATTCAATAATTTCTCTTCTCTTTTTTAAAAACCCATTCAAATTACTTAAAAGCTGTTTGGGATAACAAAACAATTTTAACAATCAAATATATAGTTTGTATTTAGTGAAAAGAGATAATCAAAAGCTAGGAAATATCAGCAAAATATTAATTTAAAATGATCATAGAAAAGGAAGGGAAGATGTTAATAAAACGTGAAAGGCTATTCAAAGCATCAGCTTTTGCTTCAGCGGTTCTTTAATTATATCTGCGAGCGATCCCTCGAGTTGTATTCAACGAATCTGTTTTAATTCCGCTCTTTCTTGATCTTTTTAAGCATGTTATAATAAGCTTTGAATACCCTTTTATTCCCGACTAAACTGGGTATTTCTTGGGGGTTTTCATCGGGCTTTTGACTTTGTTGTATTTGTTTTGATATGCAAGAAACGTTTATTTACTATTTACCTAAATCTTGTTGGTATTTGCTATCCTACTATCACAATTTAAATAATTTAAAGAACTCTATTATTAAAGTTATGCACTGGAACCGCACAGTTTTTTATAGGGGCGATACAAATTTATATACAAGAAGAAATTAGAAACTGAACAGAAGTACTGTATATAGCAATAATATATAGAATATAAATTAGTAGTTTGAAATAATGGAAATAGGCTATACTCGTATTGTGGAATTGTAAAATTGCAGTGTGCATTATAAATTTTGCACGTTTATAATATTGACTTAGTTGCAGCTTATTTAATTTCTACCAGACATTAACCTTATTTTATTAAAGTATAATATAGATTCAAAATCTTGTATCTAAAAACTCTATAATACAGTACGATAATAGTGTTATACAGACTGTCCCAAAAGTCCCGGACCGGTTTAATATTTTCTAAACAACAACAGATAAATCAATACGATTTGGTACATCAACACCACTCCTAAAAATCTACTTTTTTAGGGAAATATCAATTTTCTGTCACATCATGGGGACGTCCCGCAAGGGGTCAGAAGGAAATCTTAAATAGAAGCATAGGTTGACATGTACACCAAATTAAAGGTCTTTACTAGCAGAATATAATGCTGCAAATTTGAACTCAAACGGACAACCAAGTCAAGAATGACAGTGGTTCAAAGATTCATTTAATTTTCATTTGGGGGAACAGCCCTAAATCGGATAAAATTGTTAACGTAAGCGTAGGTCGATATGCACATCAAATTAAAGGTCTTCACTAGTAGATTACAATGCCGTAAATACAAGCTCAAAAGAACGCCTGAGTAAAAAATAGCAGTCGTTCAAATATTCAAAATGGCAGGTTCAAAGAAATCTTTGAACGGCTGCCATTTTTTACTCAGGCGTTCTTTTGAGCTTGAATTTACGGCATTGTGATCTACTAGTAAAGGTCTTTAATTTGATGTGCATATCAACCTATCCCTTCTGACTCCTTGCGGGACGTCCCCATGATATGACAGAAAATTGATAGTTCCTTAAAAAAGTAGATTTTTAAGTGTCGTGTTGATGTGCAAAATCTTATTGATTTATCTGTTGTCGTTTAGAAAATATTAAACCGGTCCGGGACTTTTGGGACAGTCTGTATAGTAGTTCACGCAATCGTTGCCACTGAAAGTGATGCAACGACTTATTGTATAATCAGCTGATTTCATGTAATTACGTGTTTGTAAAACTTCGTTAAATAATACGTTACTTTTTCAGAGAATAGGTTCTCCTAGCAGCATTCTTACCATAAATACTGTATCAGGTACAATTAGGGAAATATTGCATTTTTTTGGCAACTGAATAATATAATGAAACAGTAAATTTACAGATAGATTTCAGCATCGAATATGTGGTCCACAACAAGTTGG